CATGGCGATGCCCGCTGCTCGGTGACTTGGCACGGCCGGCCGGGAAAGCTTGCCCGGGAGGAGAAGGAGATCCTGCTTCCTGGACATGGGGAGGAGGAAGCTGGGAGGGAGGGGCGCAGCAGGTGCGCAGCCTGGCTCAGGGCCGGCCCGTCTGGTCCTCGCCCTTCCGCCCGCGGCCCTTGAGCAGATGCCCTCTGAGCTTGTGCAGAGTGGCCGTCCTCTCCTAGGGCAGAGGCTGGCGTCAATTTCTCTTGGGGGGCAGTGCCTTGGCGTGGAAAAGCGGGGTCCCAGGAGAAGCTAGTCTCCCCACCCCCAGTTAGCATCTGAATATTTGGGGGGGGTTGCTCCCTCCCTCTCCACCAGTTCTCCCTCCGGCCCATTCATCTGCCTGCTGCAAACCGTTTGCAATTGACTGGCCTGCTCTGAAACGGAGGTTGGACGGAGGGCACGCCTGACTACCTCTTTGGGTTAATTGAAACAAGTTGCCTCCTGGCACTGCATTCTTACAACACAATCCTCCTATTTCTTCATCAAGGAACAATATTTATTCCCTACCCTAATCAGCTGACTCTGCCCAATGCACAACTTTTTTTTTTTTTAAGCAAAGGTCCTATCCTCTGAACCTCGAAAGGAGGAGAAACTTAACTGGATTGGCAGAGTCTTAACTGGATTGGCATGTGAAAATGCTATTCTGATTTTTTTGCTACCATAGATTAGCATGAATTTCTTCCTGCAAGGTCCAAAAAGGAGACTGCTTTACTGAGTCTAGCTGACCTTGGGTGACCGTGAAAAGATTAAGCATGGCTGGGCCTGGTTAATACTAGGATGGAGACCACCAGGAGATCCTGGGGATATAGGCTAAAGTGAAAAGTATATTCTGGAAGAAAGCAGTGGCAAACCACGCACATACTGTTGCCATGAAAATGATGAAGTTGCTAAGAGTCAGGCTGGACTTGAAGGAATCTTGATGCTGGCTGGCATCAGAGCACAGGATAAGCAAAGAGACAGAATGTTATCCTCGTGAGAAACTTGTACATGGATCAGGAAGTCCCAGTATGGACAGAACATGGCCCACGGACTGGCTCCCGGTTGGCAAAGGAGTGAGACAAGGCTGTATACGCTCCCCTTATTTATTCAGCCTATACAGTATGCTGAATATGTGTTAAGAGCCGCTGGATTGGAAGAAGATGAGCAAGGATTTAAAACTGGAGAAACAAACATCAGTAACCTGCGTTGTGCTGATGACACTATCCTGATAGCCACAAATGCAAAGGATCTGCAAGGTCTACTAATAAAAGTCAAGAAGCATAGTGACAAAAATGGGACTAAAATTATATATAAAGAAGTCCAAACTGATGACAAAGAGCCAGTTTGCTGAGGTGGTTAAGGCATCAGGCTAGAAACTAGGAGAC